ATGGGAGCTGGCACTTACTTCCAGCCAAGATCAAGAACCAGTGGGCCCTCTCAGCGGTGGCCCCTCAGCCCAGGTGTCCTGGGAAGGGGACAGCCCCCAACACCAAGAGGCAGGGCTGGGGAAGGCATGCGGCCTGCAGGGGCCTCAGGTACTGTCTAGGAGGTGGGCCCAGGAGCAGTTCTGGGCCCCCAGGGAGCAGGGATGAATTTGGGCACTGTGGGCTTCAGGACCCTGGGGCTGGCTCAGTAGCTGTGGCTGGTTGGGCATTCATGGACCCCCACCAGAGAGTGGTGGTCCCGAAGAAATGCTTGCATACAAACCACACCGACCACCCTTCCCTTAACCTTATTGCCAGGAGAGAAGCAGGGCTCCCAGGCCCCTGAGCCATAGAAGCATTGCCACTGTCCAGGATGCCAGGAGATTCTAGCAGGGGTGGGGGTGGGGCTAACACCCCTCCCCCACCTCCTGAGGGCATCAACAGATCTTTCCTGCTGCCCATCGGCTGGGCACTGGGTGGATGGCTGCTAGTGGCCACCCCCACGGCCCAGGGCCTGAGAAGCTGGAGAGGCATCTTGAATCTCAAGCCCCTGCCCAGGCCCCAGAACTCCTTCCAAGCCACACAGTGTCTTCACTGCCCTGAGGAGAAGCAGCCAGGCTGCGGGGGACAGGCTGGAGTGGGGGGGGTCTGAGCCCTGCTCTGGCTGCCCGCAGTTGCCCACTCAGTGCCCTTTGCGAGGCGAGCCCGAGTGGACTGGGGGCCAAGAGGGCACAGAGTTAGGTGGGTGGGAGAGGAGGGGGCAGGCCACAGCGGCACTGGGCTCCCTGTGGTCTGCCCACATCGATGTCCAGACGGTACTGCTGTCAGGCCTACCTCCGGGCCCCGGGCAGCCCCCCTCAGTGGGCCAGGGTGCCGGGGGCTCCCTATCCAGGCATTCAGGAATCCTGTCCTTAGCAGGCAGCTCTGAGAGCATTCCATCTATTCACTCACCCACTCATTCATTTCTTTGTGAAAATCCTATACATCTGAGGGAGCCCCCTGTTTGCTGTCCTGTTTGCTGAAGGGCTGCACAAAATGAGCCTAGAGCAGCGGTTCTCAACCTGCGGTTGGTGACCCCTTTGGGGTCACCCAATTCCTAATAGTAGCAAAATGACAGTTATGAAGTAGCAACGAAAAGAATTTTATGGTTGGGGGGGCGGTCACCACAACATGAGGAACTGTATTAAAGGGTCGCGGCATGAAGTAGGTTGAGAACCACTGCCTTAGAGGGTGCTCCAGCCCTGGCGACACGGCTCTGAGCCAACCTCCCCAAAATAGTCCTGGTTTGTCCTGCCCGGGCCCTCCTGCCCCCAGGAGCCTGCCAGGAAGTTATGTCTGGTCATCTGATTTGGAATAGAATCCAGCTCCATCCCCTCCCCAGGGGCCGGGCCCAAGGTGGTCAGACTGGGGGCCTTAGGAAAATAAGCCTAGTCCAGCCAGGTCCTGGCAGCCCTGCCCTGTCCTGCCCATCACCAGACAGAGTAGCTCCATGCTTTGGCACAGCTGGCGTGGGTGCAGCTGTCCTCGGTTGGAAAACCACTCCTAGAATAACTCCCTGTGGGGTGAACGCCCAGGGCAGGGTCTGTGCCCTCTCCCCAGTGCTCTGCCCAGCCAGGAGGCCAGGCTTGTCCTCAGGGAGGCTGAGAACACAGCCACATGCTGACACGAGACAGGAGGCTCTGGCCCTGCTCTCAGGAGCCTGGGAGGGAAAACCAGGGTGTGCCCAAAGGTCAGAGGCCTGGCTTCAAGGCACGAGGGGCCTCTAGGAAGTTTTGACCAGGATCAGGACATGGCTCTGTCTGTCCCCTGGCCTCCAGGAACCCTCTCAGTCTAGTGAGATGCAGGGCTGGCTGTGTGACTGTCGACACAGAGTGAAATCACAAAGCTCCTTGTTCCAAAAGAGAAGCTCGTTCAAGTTGGCAATGGAGGAGCTTTACGTTGAGCCCAAGCCTTTCTGAGCACACTGTCCAGTGGGTGCGGCGGACGGTCGAGGCCAACGTGCTCAGGATGCTGCACCTCCCGCCACCTAGCTGGGGTCATCGCTGGGGTGTCCGAAGCCCAGTGCCCGGCCAAGCTTGCTCTGTCGTCCTACAGTCATCACCCTGTGCTGCGTCTTCAACTGCCGTGTGCCACGGACCCGGAAGGAGATCGAGGCCCGCTACCTGCAGCGGAAGGCCGCCAAGATGTACACGGACAAGCTGGAGACTGTGCCGCCTCTCAACGAGCTCACGGAAATCCCTGGAGGTAAGCAGGCCTGGCTGAGCCAGCCACTTTCCTCGCCCCCTTCCCTCAGCCCCCAACAGCTAAAGTAGGGGTCCCCGGCCCTGCCCTGGGAGACAGAGCCCGGCCCCTGAGAATGGTTAGCGTGAGTAGGCCAGACGGCTCTGAGAGGCAGCCAGACTGGGCACGGGTGGGAGGCCCAGGTGCCATTCCCTTCTGAGACCCACCTGGCTTCCCTGCTACCACCTGGCCTCTTCCCCCACCCACAGATGACAAGAAGAAGAAGAAGAAGAAGGACAGTGTGGACACAGTGGCCATCAAGGTAGAAGAGGACGAAAAGAATGAAGCCAAGAAGAAAGGGGAGAAATGAGGAGGGCTTCCTGGAGGTGGCAGCTGGGGCTGGCAGGCCCTCAGGCGCAAGCCCTGGCTGGCTAGAGTCCAAGCACCACGGACTCCCAGCTCAGATGGGGTCGCTGAGGTAGCAGAACACCCACTCTCTGCCCAGTGGGGCAGCTGAGGCCCCTGGCCCACCAGGGACAGGGACAAGACTGCTCCAGGAGTCCTGTCTCCCTGAAGACTCTGCTCCATGCACCTCACCCACGTGGCTTTGCTCTCGAGGCCACTGTCCCCCTGAAGATGCCGTGCCCCCTGCCGTGCCAGGAAATCATGGCTGTTGTGGGAGAGGAGGGCCGACCTGGGCGGGCTGTGAGAGGGCTCTGCCCAAGGTCAGGGCAGCAGCAGGTTCTCAGACTTTGCTTGAAGCTCGGCTGGTGAGCGGGTCGGCCCCAAGCCTGGCAGGGTTTCTAGCCCAGGGGGAGTGAGCAGAGGTGACCCCAGAGGAGGAGAACCCTGCACCCAGCAGGATCCACTTGTGTAATGTTATGCCAGAGTTCAGGCTGCTGGGAGGCCAGTCATAGAGCCCAGGGCTGGGGGCTGGAGGCTGTCAACAGAGGGCTGGGGGAAACCAGGGAGAGAAAGCTGCGGCTTGGGGGCTGTCCTTGGGAATCCAGCAAATGTCTAAGAAGTCAGGAGGGGTGGGCTTGGGCAGTCCTGGGCGACTCTTCCTATGCCCAGCTGGGGTGGGTGGTCAGGGCAGGGGGTGGCTGATGTGGCAACCAGCCTTCCACCCACTGGAGAAAGCGACACACAGCGTCCTCTTGTACCATCTCAAATACCGGGCTTAGAGCAGCAGCACCAGTCTGCAGGAAAAGGCCCAGCCTTCCCCCACCCTCTGCCTACAAGGTGGCTGAATCCTTGGGGAGGGAAGATGCACAGACAACCAACCCCTCCTGGGACAGCCACCCAGAAAGCATCACATGTCAGGCTGCGGAGCTCAGGAGCTCAGACCAGAGCCCCAAGACCAAAGAGACACCAAGGACGGTTTCCAAGCCAGGGGGCCTGCTGGGAACACCCTCACTGCCTGGGGGGGGGGGATCTGTAAATAATGCCAGTGCCTTCTCAGATGGCCTCCCGACATGACCATAGGCCCTTCAAAGCTCGGTCTCTGAAGCGCTCATGTGAATGGGATGTGGCAGTCTGTGACAGGGGCCAGTGCAGGCCAAGCTGAGGCCGAGACTGGCCCCTCTGTCTCTCTCCGCAGCCTGAATTAGGATGAGATCCAGGCAGAGCAGGGGATGCTATGGTGGCCCTCTCCCAGAATTGGGGCATCAGGAGCAGGGAGGAAGCTACATGCTGGACTGGGCTGACGAGGCCCCTCTCCGACAGTCTCTGACCCACCTTTCAATAGCCCTTTTCCTGATGTTCTGAAGGTTGGTGGCTCAAGCCTTCTTGGTGGTTCTGTGGAAGAGAGGCCTGGCCATAAAGATTCCAGCCAGGAAACCCCGATGGGCAGTTCTGCCCTGCAGCACGTGGGGGGGCCTTGGGTTGTAACCCAGTTGCCAGCAGTGGGTTTGTCTAGCTTGGCTCTTTCAATGGTCTGTGCCTGGGGCTGGGAACACAGCAGAGTCAAACCCGCATCCAGATCATTATACGAGTTGACAGGGGTGGGGGTGGGGCACAGGGACTAGGAGCAGGGATTGGGCAGAGAGATGACAGAAGGCACTGCCGAAATCTGAGTACACTGCCTCTAGGTGGCAACAGTTGTTGAGCTCGGACAACCTAGGAGCCCCTCATTTGCAAGGGTCATTGCACCCATCCTGACCTGAGCCCTCCTGTGTGGTGAGGCAGTCAAGGCCCAGGGCTCACACAGAGGCAGGGGTGTAATCTGGGGAAGGCCCAAACCTGGGCTCTCTCTGCTCGGGCTGCTGCCTCCCTGGCCTGGGGCCTCCATTTGCCCTTGATAGGCGCCTAGGCATGGCTGAGATGATACCCCAGTCTCAGGCAGGAGGCCGGGCTGGAGGGTCAAAGCTGTGGCCCTTCTGGGACAGTGACAGGGTGTGTTCTCGCCACTGAAGAGCCTGATGCTCATAAAGCACCACAGGAAACACACCTATCCTTCGGGTCCAGAGCTGTGACCCTGCCCCAGCCTCGGGGCTCGCCCTGGCAGCCCCAGTTTTAGTCAGGGCAGTGCAGTCTTGGCCCTCCATTGTGGCGGTCCCAGTGTCACCCCTTCACACTCTCTCCAGGGAGGAAGGCAGATCCGGGAGTTGGGGGGGGGGGGCCTGTTCCTGTATAAACTGGCTGGACTCCCCCTCCCACCTGCCTTAGGTGCACCCTTCTCCCACTAGAGCAGGCATGGGGCGAAGGAGCCTCGGAGGCCCAGGAAGAACAATGCTCGGGGGAAAGAAACATTTAATTGAGCACCGAGTCTCTGCCTGGCCCTGTGGGGCTGTGAGGGTGACGAGGGGTCTGGACGGAGGAATGTCATCCCAGGGAGAGCATACGGAGTGTCAGAGAGTGGCCAGGAGACTGAGGGGCAGGGGAAGCAAAAGGAGCAGGGCCCTGGGTGGGGCTGGCACGGCCAGGGGCTGCCCATTGAGGCGGTCCCAGATCCACTGTTGGTAGGCGGAGACCTGAAGGTAGATGGGTGGGGCATCACTCTTGTCGCAGCCTGGGCCCCAGCTCACCAGGCCCACCAGGTACCACGTCTTCTCCACTGGACAGAGCAGGGGCTCGCCTGTCTTCTCCTGTCGGGAAGGGATAGGCAGACAGGATCAGGAGGCCAGGTGTGGCTGGAGGGACAAACACAGGACCATTTGCTCCACAGCTGAGGGGAACCAGCCCCAAAAGACCTTCCTCAAGGGGCTTCACCTCTCATCCGGCTTCTACCAAGGCTCCAACCCCAGCTCTTGTCCCCTGCCCCCAGCTCAGCTGTCTCCTCTTCCCCACCTTCCCACATCCCTGGTGTGATCACCTGTACTGAGCCGCTCCACTCCCCTCCACCTCCAGGCCCTCCCGACAGCCTCAGCTCAGTGACCCCTGGGAGGTGAGGGCTGCAGGGTGGGGATGGGATGCGCTCACGTAGCAGAAACTCTCCCTCTGGGAGTCCTCTGCACAGATCATCTGAGAGTTGATGATCCGGACGATAGTGGGGATTTTGGAGAACCGGTGGTAGAATTGCTCACACTCCTTGTTGCTCATAATGGTGACTTCCTTCTCCTGAAGGGACTGGAACTGGGGCCCTTTGCCTGTGGGAAGGGGGTCCTCATTCAGACTGAGCTGCCTGGCCACTACCCACAGGTCTTGTCTCCACCCTCCCTCTGCTCCAACCTGCTGCACCGTGGCCAAAGCAGCCTTCCCAGACACAGCCCACCAACCGCTCCCACGGGCCCCACCGGGCAGAGACTCTGGAGCAGGCTGCCTCACCACCCACCTTGCAGGCCCGAATCTTGCTTCCTGCAGGCGCCAACACCCGGAGCCCACTGGGTTTCCTCCTCACCCTCCTCCTCTTACCCAGCATCTTGCCTTTGGTCATCCTTTCCACCACGACTCTCTCCCCACCTCGCCCGGGTCCATGCCCCACCTCTTCTTAGAGCTCTTCCTAAAGGGCACTTGCTCCTCCGATTCTCTCCTCCACCCCCTGCCAGGGAGCCCGGCGGGCATACAGCTCTCCCCGCTCATGTGTCTCCGTCCCTGGGCTGAGCTCTTGGGGAACCAGACTTCGAACCATTCCCAACCAGTCCCTAGACAGGCCACAGCGGGGATGACAAATGTCACCCCACCTCTTCCTACCTGGGCTGGGACCCTGTGGCTGCTTTGGATCGAGTTGGCTCCTTGGCGCCACAGGGCAGGGCGCCACCCTCGTGGGAAAGGAACGGGGGCTTCCTGAGGGGCACCCACTAGGAGGAGGACCCTTGGATAAGGTTGAGGGTGCACACTTGTTCCTTGGGCCTTGCTTCTAAATTGGCCTGACCAGGACTGAGGAGAGGAAAAGTTGAGCTAAGTCCTGAGGGGGCTCTTGAGTGATCCCCAACCTTGGGGACAGATGGCCCCTAGCCAGCCCTAGTAACAGGTTGTTTCTGTGTGTGGCCCTCTGCCCTCAGGGGCGTTCCAGTCAGGACCCCTGAGGTCAGGGAGAAGCAGGTCCAAAGAGGAGAGGTCAACAAGGAGGCCATGGGGCAGGGGCACTTTAAAAAAAAATTATAATAAATCATTTTTATTGAGTGCTTTTACAGGGTTTTTTTTTTACAGTGCTGCTTACACTTTATTTATTTATATTTGATTTAAATTTTTTATTTAGATATTTTTAAATAATTTTATTGGGGGCTCTTACAGATCTTATCACAATCCAGACATC